TTGTTGCAAGCTGTTAGTTCCGAATGAGCTTTCTCTTTAGATTTGTATTGCGCTGTGTTTGACATTCTTAGTAGTTAAAAGTGTAACTACTGATTGTACTTTGTGATACTGTAAGCACCTGTATGAGAACTTCTGTGGAAAATTTCGGAACTCTGAAGTGTTTCTATTGATTAAATGAATTGTATTAACCTATCATTGGGCCGGTATGCATTTAGTTTATTATGAGCCTGTCTATACACAACAATATAATATTAATGTATCTTTATAGGTGCTATTACTGTATATTTATAATGTAGTGTGTTTAACATTTAAGGTCTCTTTAGAAATAGTATAAAAAAGCATATTCCCCATCCCCTCTTGGTTTTCAAGCAGTAAAATTACTAGGAAAACGGTGGAAAATATGAGAGTAAACATGCCATATACTTACATATGTAATGTGTATACATACTATATAAATGTTTTATAAAAATAATTATAGTAGTAGTAGCACTTGAAATATCAGCCTAATGTACATACCTGACCTTATAACTAACTAAGGTATATACTTGACATCTTAAAATAGGCATCATATGAAAAAAAAAAAAAGTGTATGCACACTCAAAAATGCTTATTTATCAAACCTTTATGAAAAAAAAAAAAAAAAAAAATATATATAAGGCAATTATTCTAGTTTAGTTAGAAAGAAACCTTTGATAGTAACCATCTTCCTAACTTGAGCACCTTTGAAAGTGACTTGTATTTCCAAAGATATTACTAAATTGTGCCATTAAGCACCAACGATAACCATATTCTCTGTGGAGATCACTTTCTCTGACAAAATACCTAAAACAGGAGGGAAACGTTTCACTGCATCAACAGAATAAAAGGCTAATGCAGTGTTTCCCAAACTTTTGACATATGTGCACCCCTTAAAAAAAGGATATATTTTAATAACAATCAAAATATATTTTTTTCTTTTTTGTGACACACGCAAAATAATAAGAAAAGAGAATTAAAATTATTCATAATAAAATATAAATAAAAGTTATATTACTGGTTATCATAAATTAAGGAAACATCACAAAAATAGCGATAACTCCCTAAAAAATAAGCCAAACTGTGTACAATTTGAATATGCTGCCAAGTAAGAGTACCTGAGTAAAACTGCAATATGCAAATTAGTGGCGCTCCTTTCGGAATACGTCATCTGCGAGGAGCATAAAAATCCATGTTTGAGAGCAAACCCACATATTTCATTGTGACAGTGACATCAGAAATCTGAGGTAGCCAATTCATAACAGTGACCTCCAGGCATCATTTGCGTGCAGAACTGCGATGGAGAGCCATTGGGAGACCAGAGGCAGGACAAAGTCAAACAGAAGTGGCCAGATGGCTAAATGTGAGTCCTTCTGTGGTTCATAGACTTTGGAGGCAATTTCAAACCACAGATTCAGCATCTAGGAGGTTCAGCCAAGGACGGCCAACTGCTACGAAGAGTGCCGATGACCGATATTTGACATTATGTGCACACAGGAAAAGAACCGCTACTCCGACTCTTCTTAGATCCTTCCTTGCTGCAGCCACTGGAAGGCTCGTGTCAATGTCAACTGTGCGTAGAAGTCTTCACGAAGGTGGTCCGTATGTGAGGCGACCAGCCATTTGTGTGCCACTCACGTCACGCCATAGGAGGGACCGTTTTCAGTGGTCACGACAACACGTCCACTGGACGCCTGATCAATGGATGGCGGTTCTCTTTACGGATGAGTCCAGGTTTAGTATAGAAAGCGATAGTAGGCATTATTTGATGTGGAGAGAACACAGAACCCATTATCATCCGTGAAAGAGATGCATATGGAAGGTTCAGTGTATGTGTTTCGGGTGGCATCTCTTTGGGTGGAAGCACAGACCTCCATGTTTTTCCAAGGGGAACCGTGAATGCTCAGATTTATAGAGATGGCATCCTTGATGTTTATGTGCGCCCATATGCAGGGGCTATAGGGGATGCTTTCCTGTTACAGGACGGCTACACAAGGGCTCGCATCATAGATATTATCTTCAACAGGAAACAATTATGCGCATGTAGTGGCCAGCTCAATCTCCGGACTTGAATCCTATCGAGCACGTTTGGGATGCTTTAGGGAGATGTCTAGCTGCTCTCAATCCGCCTCCTCAAACCCTTGTCCCGCTTGCAACTTTGCAAGAGCAATGGCTCTCGCTTCCTATGGAACTGATAGACCGCATAATTGAAAGCCTCACACATCGCTGAATGTGCTGTATTGCTTCTGTTACAGGACGACAATGCAAGGCCACACATCGCTCGCATCATATATGATTATCTTCAACAGGAAACAATTATGCACGTGGAGTGGCCAGCTCGATCCCCAGACTTGAATCCTATCGAGCACGTTTGGAATGCTTTATGGAGACGTTAAGCAGCTCTCAAGCTGCCCCCTTATACCCTTGCCGCGCTAGCAACTGCTTTGCAAGAGCAATGTTTCGCTTCCTATGGAACTGATACCGCAAATTAAACGCATCACACATCGCTGATTGCTCTAGAGGCGTCAATACCATTTGAAGGTACTTTCCTATAGCAAACTGACACCTTCGATTTGTCATTTTATACATGTGCTATTTCTATACTACCATATTTTGTCTGGTAATTTCTTTTTATGTTATTTGATACCTTACTATGTGTTGTATATTGTGGGTAAGTTTCATTAAATTCTACATGTAACTTTTTCAGTAATAGTGATTTCTCCTTAATTTATGATAACCAGTGTATAAATAACATTTATTTGGATTAATGAGAAAGATGAAACTGTTTGTGATGAGATTAGAGATTGTCATATTTGGTTCCCTAGTTGTTAATTTTAATCCGAGATGCAGTTCCACATCCAATAGTCTGTTTCATTTTTTTTGTCTTAATGTCTACAAATGCTGAAAAAGCAACTTCACATAAATATGATGTTGGAAAAGAGAAGATGTATTTCAGAAAAAATGCAACAATGTGTAACCAGAATGATGTTAAAATACACTCCTTATGTTTACTTTTGAAGAATCCGTCAGAAGACAATTACAACAATTTTTCTTTTTCCGCATGCGACAAGTCTTCTGGCATGGATGTTGTGTTAATGTTAAATGGACATCTTATCCATTCAATATTTTTGTTTAAACCAGGGAAATAGTTTTTCATGACCACATGTAAACTCTCCAAATGTTGTGTTATGTATTTCAGAATATCAGCATCAGTTTTAATAGTCGAACTTCTTATAAACTCATGAAGAGAGGAGTTGGTAATGGAGAGTCTACTTCTCCATTACCAACTCTCTTTTGCCATAAATTTAATTTTGCGATGGCATTGTTTCCTTGAAAATGAAATAATGAAATTTCTTTGCCTTGTAACGATAAGTTGAGGCAATTTAAAATAAAGAATATATCTGCTAAGCATGCTAGTTCACAAAGTCATTTCCAGTCATGTAGGCAATTTCTCAACTGAAATCTCTCATTAAGAAAACACTGAAGTTCATGTCCAAGTTCAAACAATCGATTTAGAATTTTTACTGGAGATGTCAATGAACATCGGTATGAAACAGAAGCTGGGTATGACTACTGCCTATTTCTTCACATATTTACGAAAAAAGTTATGCATTCAAACTACAGTATTTAATGTAGTTAACAATTTTCACGCTTTCATTCAGAACTTTCTGGAGATGAATAGGCATTTTACGTGTTGCTAATGCCTCTCTGTGTATGTAACTGCGTAGATGCAACATTTTGAATTCTTGCAATGAGTCCTTTATTAATTCCGACCATACATTTTTGCACCATCTGTGCTTATTCCAACACATCTATTCCAATCAATTTTGTTCTCTTGCATAAATTTATTCATAACATTAAAGATATCTTCTCCTATTGTGTGACCTAGTAAAGGCTGGAAAAATACAAAGTCGTCATGAATTTCTTGATTTTTTTTGTATCTAACAAATGCGATAATATTTTCAAAATTTGCAATATCAGTGGACTCATTGACTTGCAATGCATAATAACTAACGACTTTGAGAAATATCAGATAATAATATGTGTTTCACATTAATAGACATATCAATGATTCATGGATGAACTGTATTATTTTTGAGAGAAACACGGTAAAAAGTTTGTCTTGCTGTAATTCCTATCAATACTTTTACCATTATCTTGGCTGCAGGCTTGTTTAAAATTTCGCCAATGGTTTCTGTTGCACTACATTTGACAATTAAAAGTGACACACGATACAAAGTTTCTAGTATTTTTTTATTGTCACCTCCTATCAAACTCCGCATTACTTTTCGAGACTGATTTAAAATCTTTGTACTGAATATTGTTTGTTGTACTTGCAAGTTTTCCTTGTTTTTTTCTTAACAGGTTCTTTCAGAATTGAAGTTCATTCATCATTAATTTCATTATTTCCTGTTAGTTGATTGCTACTATAATCATTACTTTCTTTCAGTGCAGTAGTTCCAGATTTCAACCAGTGATCCATAACCTACGTTAGTGATAACAATTATATTTTATAAAAATAATCAAAATCAGTGGGGCTTACTAAAGCACATAACAAATCATTTCTTATAAGAAAAACCGCACAAAATCTAAAAATACACAGGTGCCTAGAGAAACCACTAACTATTAACAGAGTAAGTTGTCTCTGTAACAAAGTGCGGTATATTCTCGCCATGTCACACCAGACCATCTCATGCCTCACAAGACTGTCTTGACTCATAAGAACGTAGAATTAGGCACAGCTAAGCATGGTGCAGTGCATATTCCCACCAAACTCTTCCCATACCCCTGGGGGTAAACATACCACACTTTGGGGGAAAACTGGGTTAATGGAATCAGCCTCCAAGGTGTAGAGTAAACATAAGAATTACATTTTGAAAAAAAAAAAAAAAAAAAAAAAAAGCTACTCATGATCATGTATCTAGTTTTAATTTTAAAATAGTTTCAACAACAACTAATCATCAAAAATACCAAAATAAAAGACAGAGGCATATGAAGATATATTTTATTTAAAACACTTGATCAAAAACAACTTACATGAAAAATGATCTTTTTCAGTATATACTAATTAATATCCACTATAAGTGAACATAGCTAATAGCATCTGGTTGCTGACATTTAATATGTTTTTGAAACACATTAAAAGAACAAAATGTGAATCATTTTCCCACTAGTTTCATAAAATTATTTTAAAGAATACAGGCCAAAATAAAGATGAAAAATAAATAATGGAAAATTTTAAAATCAGCATAAATTAAAAATTTCCTAAATCACAATCATATTCATAGGCTTAAATTAGCAACACCAGAAAAAATATATACCTGCTAAATCTTCCATTTGATTTTTTATCCTACTATATTCACACATCTCAAAATTTTATTTACAATTTTATTTATTTTATTATAATAAAAAACATAAATAAAAATTTTAGAGCTGAGAATATGAGAGAAAAATTCTGATACAATGTTTTGAAAGTAACAATATTTGCATTAAACTGAAACTTACATAGTATGATTGTGTATGTTATGTACATATATGTACAAATATACATGTACTTCCCAATCTAATCTCTAAAAGAGATACTTTGATTTTTCAATCTCATGATTGATTTTGTGAACAGTTCAAAATTTCTCTTTGCTTTAGACTGTGGAAGCAGAACCTTGAACTAAAAGTTACAGTTGTTCACTCAGTGACTATACACATTACAAACATAATTATAAGAAATAATTCATCATGAAAAACTAAAAATATTATTTTCAAAAGTAACCATAAAGCTGAATCATTCTCTTTGTGAATGTCACAGAACACACTCCTATACTGAATGCTTCTATATGTCCAACATGTCTTTTTATTTAAAAATAATAAAATTTCATCTAATATCTTATATATATTTGAAAATACATGGCTGAATATTGTGAATGTATTAGCAGATCTCTACAGATTGGACCTGTTTGCCTTTGAAACTGATAAGAGTCTTGACTAAAAATCTATGCCAAACACAAGGCTATTGCTTTGATTTTATGTTTTATTTTGGTGTGTTTCTCTTTATATAAAAATTGTTGGTACTTTCTGGTTAAAGGGGTCACCACTAGCACTTTGGCAAAATTTGGTGACATTTATGGCGAAAATTAGAACCATGAGTATAGATATTTGTGATTATGGCTTTTTTGGAGGACGCCACCGAAAACAATCGATCTGTTGAAAAAGCATTTCTGTAGTAACAGGATTCCGGATGCTTTCCCAAACACCTGAAACAAAACACGATTGAAATACATATCAGAAATTAGCTTTTGCAAAATCTTTTGATAATATATTATTGAATTCAAAAATACACACAGAGATTTTATGAAAAAGCATTTTTAAAGGACTAAGAGAACATGGAATAGGATCACGTAATTAAAAAATATTTAAATGTATGCCTACAGCAAATTTGACTACATAAAAATTTAAAATTAGGCAAAAAGAGATTCATATTTATTTATTTACCTTATTAAACATTTCTTTCAATGTAAGTTGTTTAAGTTGCTTCGGGTTTTTTCTTTTTTTTGTTGTGTGTGTGCTAATACTTTCTCTTTAAATCTGTAGACAGACATAATCTCTTCTTCAGTTACATTGCTGAAAAAGTCCTGTATCTGTTGTGTCGAGGATTCCTACTAACTTGTCAATCGAAATTTTTTTGTTTTTAGTAACTTCTGTCACTTTCTTCACTATTGGTAGCGGTATATTCTGGATCTAGAACCATACTACAGATTTCGCAATTCATTAATTGATTGATGATTGAGAAACATTGTCATCATAATGAAAAAATTCTTTTATATCATCTTCATTTATTACCGCTTTTCCACATTTCTTTACAAAATCCATTAATTGGAAAATTTTACCTTTATTTTGTGAAATCCAAAAACCTTAAAAATTCATGGCTATCATCATCAAATTTAGCTAACGTTCACTACAAATATTTGGCTATGCATCACGAGCTTGGCGACTAACGACAAGTTGTTCCATTAAATTTTATCTTGCTTCTATCACGCACTGAGACAATTAAGCCTGAATTGTATTAGTTTAGTTATTTATTATACTTATGTCTATTTCTTGCACATGCTTAAAGCTTATCACAGTTTTGAATAAATAAATTCCAACATATACTTAACGAGGGCCAGTGCTAGATATCTTACTGCCTGATGCAGTCTCCCTGGGTCCAAAATTCTAGCCTGGTGCTGCCATGTGAACCTTGGCACAGTTCTGGGTTCATGAGAATAAAACATCAGTTATTTTTAATTCAAATAGCCCAAAATGTAATCTTTGGGTCTACAAGTATCATCAACAAACTCTACTTTTATCATATGAAAAGAAATTTAAAAAAAAGTTTTCCTTGTCAACATTTTTTAGCACATTTAACTTAAATCTGTAATCTTTGCCAAGTGTAATGTCAACATACAAGGTTACCATACTACTTTATTATTCAATTACTAACATAAAAAATTGTGTTTAGGCATCGCTACATGTGTCATATACTCAAGTTGTCATGTATTGATAAACATGCGGTGATGAAAGGAAAATATAATAAATAATGATTAGCCAGGTTGGCGTCAATGATGTATCTATGTGGAATGTTTTGGTTTGAGATGTGAGCCAAGCAGATATGCAGCAACATAGCCAAATTACTGATGGTACAAATTTATGCTAAAATGATTGTTTCTTCAATAACAAGGTATATTTTATTTAGTGTTGAAGTGAAATTAAAAATCGGGATTCTCCAGATGTTTTATTATACGCAGAGGGGGGATAATCAAATCATAGGCTTTACGCACAAGAAAAATGTTGCTGGTGGTTTTGAGGTCCGGATTTTAGATCATTCCAGATACTGGACGTCTGGATTTCAGACTTTGTACTGTATATATAAAAGATATTTTTATAAATCTCATTTTATACATTAAAAAAAAAAAACTTACCCATTGCTGTTTTACGTGCATTAGGAAAAGATTTATCAGTCCTTTCTCTCATGAACACCCATTGGTTGTTTTCAAATTTACATTCAATAATTTTCTTGTCTAAGTTTTTTATAGCTTTTGTAACCTGCAATGGAATTTAGTTTGAATGTTAGTAAATCACTTCCAATAAACATTCTTAAAATAATTTTTATGAGAATGAAAATGCGCCTGCTACCTTAAAGCTTAAATTTGGAGAACAGCATTTTAAAAGAGTACTTACCTTGATTTTAGCAAAAGGTTCACTGTAACCACCAACATACAGTAAACCAACTTTAGTAGGAAGAAGCCTATAAAAATATGGGATTTAAGCAGAGGAAGAAACTAATAAATACAGTCAGTCAATAAATAATAAAATTGTATCCACAGATCATGAGCAGAGAAGGAAAAAATAAATAGCTTGAACTATAAAAGATATTTGTACTGATATGGATTTATTAATTTATGATCTCCCTTATAAAATGCATTTTTCTCTTCACAGCATCCTAATTTGGCCTCATCTAAAAAATTTCAGATGTTAAGAAAGTTTCAATTAAATAGTAAATATATATATATATATATACTATAGTAAAAAAAAAAAAAAAAAAAAAAAAAAAAACCACTTAACACCTTGTATAAAACAAAGAAGAAGAACGACTGAGACGACAGATACACATAATATTGGGTCATATAAAAAGTCTCCACCGGTTTTTTGCCACTAGATGGTGCTTGATGTCTATATATATCCAGCAACACTCACCCGATTGTCTCAAACAAACATGTGCTTAAAAGGTGATATTCAGCTTCCATTGTTTGTTCAAATAGTTTTCTAATTTGTGGCTTGTGTAAAACGTTATACTGATTTGAAAATGAGTTAAATAGCTTAAGAAATATGCTACGTTATGCTTTTTTACTATAAAAAGGGTAAAAACACTGCAAAAACATGCCAAAAAATTTGTGAAGTGTATAGTGAGAATGCTGTGAGTGAATGAAGGACCCAGGAGTGGTTTGCTCGATTCCGTTCCAGAAATTTCGATGTTAAAGATGCACCTCACTCTGGTCAACCAGTCACTGAAAAAGTTGATGAAATTTTGCAGCTGGTGGGGCAAGAGTGGCCTGCAAGATGTTAGGAAATAGCAGAGGCACAGAACATCAACCGCCTGACAGTCTGGAATCATTTGAAAAGAGCAGGCTATAAAAAAAGCTTTATGTTTGGGTGCCACATGAAGTCACTTGAAGCGAATCATCACAGGCCATGAAAAATGGGTGAAGTACAAGGATATCAAATGTAAGCGATCATAGTCAAAGGCTGGTGACCTTTCACAAATGACTTCAAAGCCTGGATTGTCGCCAAACAAGGTTATGTTGAATGTTTGTTGTGTTAGTAGATTGCACTTCCAAGCATGATGTTAACGCTTAATTTTTCCTCAATGTCGATCTTCTCACTGGACACAGTCTGGAAGGTAATGCAGGGCGGTGACCAAATACCTTCCAGCTGTTCAGTTATTTTCCCTCTTTCTTCCTAGGAGCGGTTTTAACTTCCATGTCCTAGGTTATTCTACAGTTCATTCATATGTGGCCTTCAGCACTTTAGGGTCAATTTCTTGTCACTAATATTCAGTCTCAAGACATTCAGTTGTCTGGTTAAATCATCTAGATGAGCAGTTACTTGATCCACAGGTTCTTGAACTTGAGCAGCTCTGATTGGGTAGCGGTCCCTGCAAGTTGCCTGTTGAGTTTCTCAAATTTCATGGTGCACACTAGAATGCTTTTCAAACCTTTGACATCCACCATTTGCAGAGCTTTCTGTATTTCAGGATCCCGGTGATGAAGTATTCCAGGGACAGGATTTCACTTGTTTCTATTGGGCATTCTGAAAAGCCGAAATGAGACAGCCTTTCAACATTTGTGACAAGTTCCTAAAGTGTTTCCATGGGCTCCTGCAGATGGGATTTTAACTGAAGCCTGCTGTAATCTTTTAAGCACTTTTCGCGAAAGGGAAACTCCAACACACCGGATGGAACTTTCAAATCTAGTCTTTGGTTTTCTGCAAGAATTTGCATAATATCCACAGCATATGCTCTCAGAGAAGCAGCGAGATGACAGGCCTTATCTTGGGAATTGCATACATTCACATCCGACACGATATAAAATTGTGTCTTACTTATACTTGCCAGGAGATCTTCCCATCATACATGGATAGGTTCAGAGAGGGATGAGCAGGAGAGGGTAAAACTTTAAAACCATTAGAATTGCTCCCTGCTGTTGCTACAAATTTCTTTAAAGTATCAATTTCTTTGGCTAGTGGAGAAAACCTGTCATCAGTTTGTTGCTGGATAGCAGAAACTCTTCCTTCAATTTGTTATTTGGCAGAAGAAACTACGTAATCGATTTGTTCTTTGGCAGTAGTTCTCTGGTTGCTGCAGAAACTGTGTCATCAATTTGTTGTTGGACAGCAAAACCTCTTCCTTCCATTTGTTCTTTGATGGAAGAAAATGTTTCTTCAATTTTTCAAACTTCATTTTCAACCATGGCTATTCTTCCATAGCCTCAAATTTCTTTTCTATTATGCAGGTAATTTATCTTTGACCTGCTTCAATCATTTCTTGACAAGCTTCCATCTTCTCTTGAACAGTTTTCACCTCTTTTCTAACTGCAGCAAAGGCTCCCACCAGCTGCCTTAACTGCTCTTCCATCGCTCTTGGCACTGGCACTCAATCTCACTTCTACTACAAAAACTGTTCTGTGCGTATTGGTTTGTAATAGATTGAATGCACAAGTATGATAATAAGTTAATAAAATTTATTCTCATCAACAGAAATATATCAGAACTCTGGAATTTTCCTCAGAGATATTCGTACAAGTGTTCACAATAGCAGGCAATTTGATCAGTAGTTATACTTCAAACTACTAAAAAAAACTTAAAATACAAAGTAATACAAGGCACATCTAAAGAGAAAGCTAAATCCGATATCTTGGCTCATGCAAAACTAAACAAATTGCAATAACATTAACTAAGCAACTAACTAAACAGAGCTGAGATGTTCTCTCCATGGCTTTTTATAGACTTCAAGTGGTCACAATATATTTCTAGTAATTTCCACTTCTCGAGATTTCTGGAACACAATAAGAGGATGGAATTATGGTTACAGCTTACATAGTGGTCAAATACATTTATTCAATTTGAATACAAACTACCGAGATATTCATTTATTCACTGTTAAATGCATGTGCACCTGTATTTTTATTTTTCTGGCATAGCTTTATCTTAAATTTGTCTCGTGCAGCATTGCATGGGGAAATACAATTTTAATTATAATTCTGCTAAAATTAGCTATCTGAATCAAAATTCATAACAACAGGGATGGGAATTTCTTTTGTCTTGGTCAAACAACTTTAAAGAGAAACAGTTTGGTAGGAACGCCATATTGTGGGAAACGGGAACCTTGTCCAATTCTTGAATTGTGTTACAGCTAAATCATGCTGCAAAATTGTCTCATTATATGGTGGCTGAAAGTACACGCTTACTGTCTTCAGTAAATACACAGAGCAAATTTTTTAACAGATAAACAAATACTAAATTTATCTTTACATCATATAAATTCTGCTTACTTTTTTTTTTTTTTTTTTTTTTTTTTATGAGGGAAGTAAAAACAAGTAGGACTTTTTAGTCAACATGCAGTTTTAAACTACTTTGTCCCTTTAAAAATCAAACTGATGCTTAAAGACACTTAACGAACTTTCTCAATGTTAGATGGATTTTTCAGTATATTTCTCAAGTTAAACAAATTTTGAAATATTAGTAGTTGCTTCACACAAGACACACATAAGTAATGGAAAACAAAATAAATTAAATGAACAGAATAAATTCATTTCTTTCTACCATTAGTTAAAAGATACTGCCCCAAACTCTTTGGAATATTCAATTCTTCAGCAGGAGAAGATTATTTTCCTTAACACAGGGTTCGTACACATTTCGCCACACAGAAATTAAGTACTTCTAAGGACTTTTAAGGACCATAATGAAAAAAATAAGGACCTATGAGCAAATGCAAACTGAATAATTCAATAAAAAATATCTATGCTTGAATTTCTTTTGTAATACCATCTTAAAATACAATGATCCCTAAGTAATGCATTATTACTAAACATGAATAATTTGCATATTTAATCGTTTGAGAATAAAATCAACTTTAAGCATTTTATCAGTAGCATTAAATACTTACACTTATAATAGTTGGACATATTTGAAAGAAGATAAGTGACATTTTTTTACTAACAGTTAGCTCCTGTGTTGATTTTTTGTCTCATTTTGTCACATACTTGCACAGTTGGAGTTTAGTAATGCGGTCCCTTTTATGCAACGCATAGGTAAAATGAGAAGTAAGACAATCAGCATGATTCAACAAACAAGATGTTGTCCCCCGCTGCTGCTTTTGAGAGAGACCTGACGATTGATATTTGAAATAGAAACAAATTATAACCCATGAACCCATTCAAAAAATAACCATATATTTCAGTTAATCGCCCAAAATGTTCCTCCAAAATGCTAATTCACACTCAAAATGGCAGTCATAAAAATAGACGGAAATTTCAGATGATTAAAATTAAGGACCTTCTGCTGAGTTTGGCCAAAATTAAAGACTTTTAAGGACCAAAAATTCTAAGGACTTTTAAGGACTCTTAAGGACTGTACAAACCCTGTTAACAGTATTTGAAGAAATTATACAGCTCATAAAACGCTTCAAGCTTATGCTTGGAATGCAATATATTTTGTACACTGCACTAAGCAACTAACTGTACATAAAATAACTTACCCTTCACCTCTTTCTTGCTGTATCACAAGTTTAAAATCCACTGAGTTTAAGTTAGCTGGTTTCCACTTAAGTACATCTTTGCAACGTCCACAAATATAAGGCTGAAAAACGAATATACAGATATAAAAAATGCCACATAATAAGCAAAACAAAATGCCAAAATCAAGTAACTCAAATATTCAAAGCATGGAATATTAAACAAGTTTCTATTCAATCACTGTGAAAGGGAAGAAGATTCATGCTAGTTTTATTTCTATATACATGCTATGTAAAAAAAGAAATTTATGCTTACATAATAAAAAAAATTCTGTTTAAGAAATTAGTAAACAGATAATATTTAAAAACAAATTTTCTTAAAGTATAAATACCATTCATTTCTACATCATTCTATGATTGTCAAAACAAAAATTATAAATTAAAGAAGAAAACTTTTTTAATTTCTGATGCTAAATATCAAGATGCAATAATATTTGGATCAACTAAATAGTAAAATTCAAATATTTTTATATCTACATTAAAATTGATTAGCCAACTGATTAAAGGGGACTTCTGTTTATGCACTGGATATGAGGATTGCATTATGATACACTAATAACACTGTATAGTGCAAAATCTGAGTTTCCCACACAACTGGACTTCGATTTGGAATTTTTCTGAATATTACATGATCAGTTTAAATCTGGTAAGGACGGATGTAGAAATTATAAAATTAAAAACACCAATAGTAATTTATGATTTTAAAACATTCAAAATTTACAAAAAAAAAAAAAAAAAAAAAAGGAAAGAGAGAGAGAGAAGCTTAATATTTAGTTTGTTTTATTAAACATTTCTTTCAATGTAAGCTATTTAATTTGCTTCATTTTTTGCTAATATGTTCTTCTTTAATTCTATAACAGATATAATTACGTTACAAACTTCTAATGTCTAAGTCATGCAGTTGCTGCATGGAGAATCTTCACTAAACTGCCAATAAAAAATTTTGCATTCTTAACATTCTATTAATTTCTTCACTCTTGGCAACAATATTTTCTGGATTCAGAACCATACTACAGATTTGACCATCTGTTACTTGACTGATAAATTGGAACACTGTCATTGTAATGAAGAACTTTTGTTATATCATCTTCATTTATTACCAGTTCTCCACATTTCTTCACAAATTCCACTAATTGGAAAATTTCACTTTTTGTTTGCGATATCTAGAAACCTTTTCATTTGTATCTGCTATTATGAAGCTTAGCTAGCCTCTGTTACACACTACTGCCAATGTATCATAAGATTGGCAACTAAAGACATGTTCTGCTAAATGTTGTCTTGCTTCTATTGCAAGCTGATGAAGTTAAGCCTGAATTATATTAGTTTAGTTATTTGCTATATATATGATTACTTTTTGAACATGCTTAAAAACTTCTCTGAGTACTGAATACATAAATTCCCACATACGCTTAATGCTTATTTAGAGATGGTGATAGACATTTTGGCAGTCGCTAAATTCTACTGCTAAGCACCTCCCTAAATTCTAAAAGTTTTGCTTCCCAGTGCCTTCACTAAATTTTAAAGATTTTGCCATCTCTTAATTTTGTCACTTGGTGCTTTTCTAAATTAAAAAAAAAAAATTGCCTAGCCTAAATTCTGCCATTTAGTGCGGCTGTACCAGCTCTGACAATGATCCTGGGCTTGATAAAAAATCAGTTATTCTCAGTTCAAACAGCCCTAAATGTAATCTTTTCATCTATGAGTATCATTTCCAATACCTGTTTTTTTCCACATCGAAAAGAATTTCTGTTAAATTTCTGCTTGTCAACAAACTGAGCCCTTCGGAGCAGAGTGAGCCGTAATCATTACCAAGTGTAATGTCAACATAAAATGTTACCATGATCCTTTATATTCAGTTATTAAAATTAAACAAAGCTTCATACACTGCTGCTGAGTGAATTATTTCTCAAGCTGCAGTGTATTGATAATCATGCAGTCAGAAAGCAAAAAAATAATAAATAATGACTTGTCAGGTTGACACCAGAGCCAAAACCTAGGACCTACCATATTTTTATTATGAAAAAATATCAAATGTGTAAGCATTAAGCATTAAGCAAGTTTGTGTTGGCTGATAATCCCATGGTTTGTATTTTAAACCATTCTGGATACTGGACATCTGGATTTCGGACTTTGTCCTGCATAATATTGTTACGTTATTTTTCTTCTTTTCATGTTCGTACGGGGTTTGCGTGGATTTGGAGTGAATAACGATAACAGGACTTGTTGAAATATCGAAACACATTTTATTTACCAATATTAATCAGGACAGCTCCAAAACACTTTTACAGTTGTCAAAGATCTACTGTAAACACGCTGGAACAATCAGCAACACAGCCTTCACGCTATCACGGTGGAGACAGCTTCACTGCAAAGCACCAGAGTACAGCTCCCGAGTCTGCTCGGTCATTCTCAGAGCTCCACATATTCTCGAGATTCTCAACGCTACAACTTGCGATGCACTCGATGATACACTAGAGTACAGCTCCCGACTCCTTAGTTCAGTCATTCCTGGAGCTCAACACACTCTCTCGACAATGCACTAACCACGATACACTAAGAGACTTCTTTCAGTGCACTCAACGACCAACTCGGCACTCACTGACTATCAACTCGGCTCCGCGCCGACTAACTCACTCGCTCTCCATTCATTAATTTTTAATTAATAATTGTAATCAATTCTGTTACATTTAAAATCCATATACATGTAAAACTGAATAATTAAAAATTATATGTACTTGTAAAGTATATGAACATTTAATTAGAAATTTTCATTTAACTCCTTACTAAATCTACTATTATATGAAAAAAGAAAGTACAGTCAAAAGTCGTTAATCCGGACTTGTCAGGACTTCGGCGATTCCGGATTATAGATCATCAGTTTAAATCTCATAAGATGGCATGCAGAATTCTAAAATTAAAATATGAAACCGTAATTTATGAAATAAAGAACATTATGATCTAAAGGGTATCAAAATTTGCAAAAATGAAAAACTTAATATTTATTTGTTTACTTTATTAAACATTTCTTTCAATGTAAGTTTTTTAAGTTTTGCTTCGTTTCATGTGATAATACTTTCTGTTTTAATTCTATTAAACAGACTAATTTCTTGTCGGTTACAAAGTTCCGCTGTTCAAGTCCTATAATTGCTGTGTCGAGAACACCGACTAATTTGTCAATCGAAATTTTTTTTCGTTTTCACTAACCTCTGTTACTTTTTTCGCTATCGGAAGCGAATTATAATGACGAGGAACTTGTTTTAAATCATATCAAAGACGGAGCACATCGAGATGAAATACTAATTTGGTAAGTAATTATAAGCCAAATAAAATAAAAACATCTGCCCTGAAGATAAGGATAGTGCTGACAAATCAACTTCCAGTTCATTACGCGCCCACGGCGGCGTTCCCCCCGCCGAGCAGCGTGAAATTGATAAACAGATTTCGGATTTCAAACATACTTTCGCTTTAGATTCTTTACATATTAACAAATATATATCGGAAATTCTATTTGATATAATCGAAAGTTTAAGTTTACTTTTATAAAATTGCTCTTACAGTCTGCAAAAAAATAATAAGCCGGGATCCAATTCGAAAATTAAGGAACAACGCAATCATCAACATTAACTGAAATAGATAATTAGATAATTTTAGCTTACACGTCCATTATACATAAAACGTGCACACGAAAACGTATTCTGCACTTGCGCACACTCATATGCGCAGTCGTAAAAGGTCTTACGCGCACGCGTAAACGCCTATGCGCATGTGTCAATGTGGCGAATGCGCAGAAAGTTTTTAGTTTTGAGGTCCGGATTATAGATCATTCCGAATTATGGGTGTCCGAATTAACAACTTTTGACTGTATTTTAAATCACTACTAATCAGAAAAACTCAGAATCCATAAATCATACATCTTTATTCTGGATTTGATTTCTGCAGGGAAATAAAATTTAAATAACCAAAAGTAATACATATTAGTATTAAAAAAAGAACTTATAATTTACAAATGCAAAGATTTACATGTAGCATGCTTAAGTTCTGATTTTGAGAATGTTTTTTTATAACACAGTTCTTCATTTGCTTGCATACTTATTTTTTCAATCAAAATTGCTTCGAGAGTTTTAGGACCTAAATTTGGTCGAAATTCCGTCCGATTTTTTTTTAACAATTGGAAAAATTCTTTCGCAAGCTGCATTTGAATGAGGTATTATTAAGAAAGCAAGCATTACAGTAAAGCAATCTTCGTATTTAATACACCCATTCATATTTTTTAATTTGGCAATTTTCTCCCAGCATATTAATACGCAAATCTACAATTTCTTTCAAATCATCTACATGATACATGGAAAAATTCATTCCACTTGATTTAAGATATTTTCATCAATAATGGATGGAAAAATATTCATCAAGTAAAGAACAGATGAAAATGAAACTCAGTCCTCAAGTTGATGTCAGCAACTTCAGCATGTTTTAGAAATGGATCACTTAGTGGAAATTTATCTATTGTATATTGAACATACAGTTAAAAAAAGCTCGCACAGAATTGAAAAAGCAATTTCACTTCACCTTTGTTCAACTCGGCTTTTTTTAAGTATAATCTTGTTTCTGCACCAATCACTAAATTTTCATTTCTTTTTGTTTACTACACTTTTGAAATGGAATAGATGTTAGAGTAACATCTTTCATTTTCTTTAGAAATTACCGATAGTTTTAGGAATCTAACAAATTCATTAAAAGTTCAAGAAGTTCTCTTCTCAATTTATGTATATAAGGAAGCTTGTTGCTGGCAAATTAATATTACTGTATAAACAAAGTATTTTTAAAAAATAACAAGTACAATTTGCTGGTAGGGTGATTGAAAATTTTTTAATGTTGCTGCAATCTTTTTTCCTTCATTTCACTGTTATCTGGTTGATTTCCCAAAAAAAATTATCACAGCATCCCACTGTTCCCAAATCCTTGTTATAGATTCTAAAAAGAGACAACCATCTCATACTGCAGTATTTAAAAATTTTATGAGACTTTGCATTCTGTTCCAAAATTTTTTGAGCAACTTTAAAGCTAT